CCGCGGCTGCTCTCGGTGTTCGTTTATGAGAATTCGGAGAGTTCAAGGGGTGTGAGGAAGAGTCCTCTCCAGAAGGCACATGCCCACCCCTCCTGCTGTGCTATAGACACTGGGGCTGGGGACACAGCGCTGCCTCCCAGAGCGTCCGTACACGTTCAGGTCGTGGGAACCCGCTGCCGCAGGAGGAAAGGCAGGTTCCGTGAGCAAGAGGTTCGAAGGTATTTACAAAGCGTCCGCCAGCTTCCTTCCGCAGCGCCACCCAAAGCTTGGCGAAACCGGCCGCCCGTTAATCCAGACACGCAGCAAAGCACTTCTTCACAGCGTCCCTAGGAGGAAAAACACAGGGGTCAACGGGAGACAGTCACCCCGGCTCCTGCCATTTCCTGGAACCCAGAGTAGCACCTTGCAGAGCAGCAAGCACCCAGACTGTGGGGTCAGGCCCCCAGGCAGGTCGCTTGCCTTGTTTGAGTTGCAAATATCTCATCTGTGAAAAGGGGTGTCCCCACTCACGCTCCTGACCAGCGGTGGGAATGAGGGCATTGAATGGAGTAGGAATTTGCTAAATGACAGCCAGCGATCATGACGATCAAAGGAAAAGACAGGAAGGAGGTAGAGACCATCAGGAACCAAGGGACGCACCAGGAAGGTGCACTTTCTAGCAACCAGAATCACAGAGTGCAGCCGCTCGGGGGTCCTTCATTCTAAGCAAGCAGCCGATGTGCCAAGGGACATCCGCCAGGAGCTCCTAGCACAGGGCACCCTACAGCCGGAGCTCACCTACTCTCCTGGGAACGCAGCGCGAGCCGGCATGGGCAGAGGGCAACCAACCGCTGCCCTACCCGGCCGCGTGGGCTCGGGCTTCCCCAGCCCGCCCACTCCCAGCTGCACCTGTGCCCCGGCCCTGGGAGCCCACTGCAGGGCAGTGAGGAAGTGCACTCCCATGCGCTTGAACAGCCAGATGATTCTAGAAGAATGTTTCTTAAGCTCTGCTCTGCCTGTGGCCCCAGGAGGTGCTCTGGGTGAGAAAGGGCCCTCACGGAAGCTCATCCGCACGTCACATCAGGGGTCTGGAAGGTGGGAGCCCTTCACAAAGCCACCGGCCGCCGTGAACACGAGGGCTTCTAAGTTCTCGTCCAATCACTCCCAGCGTCCACATCACCATCGGCAACAGACCTGCTCCCCCTGCTCACACACCGTTTTTCTTTTTCTCAACACAGCTTGGGAAACACATGTTGGTTAACAAGAGAGGAACGGAAATTAAATGGCGACATGAGAACAGAGTCAGAGGCAAAGACCACGGACGGTGCCAGTGTAAAGAGGTTTGGAGCCAGAACCTTAGAGGTGGAAGGGCCGACCCGCTCTAGTCGTCAATGAGCCCTGAGGCCGGAGGGTCAGCGGGCTGCCAGGGTCGCCAAGGTCACGCCGCTCACAGGAGCCCCGGCCCTGCTGCCTTCCCGTTACAGGCTCCTCCCTGAATCGTCCCGTGAGGTGCTGCAGGAAGACAGCACGAGCTTCCCTCCCTCCACCTCTGGCTCCGGGACATGGAAGTGGTACCCACCTTTGAGAAAATCTCAAAGCTGACAGTTAATGGTGGGCGTGTGCACAGACACGACCGATCACGCAGAACGTGCAGTGGCCTGGGTCAATGCCCATCACTGCCTGTATGGGGGCGGGGGTGACCTCAGCTTACTAATCTATAAACAGGTATGTAACACCTGCCTGCTGGTCTCAAAGGGCTTAGGAAAGATAAAAGAACAAGCAATCTCTGCAAACACTCCATACTAACAGTCCCATGCACACACATCAACATCCCCCAGCGACAGATGTTACATCTGCATACAGCCCGTCTTACCTTGCGAATGGGATGTAGGAAAGGCTATACCTACAAGGAGAAACAAACACAAGATCAAATTAAATGAAGGGCGCAGACGATTACAGCAGGACAGGGTTCTGGGCTGTAAGAGCTTCTGCAGGGACTTATGGGGCCCTCGGGGTGAAGGGCACACACACACGCACACATGCACACGTGCACGTGCACACACGCTGTGCCACCGTGTACTGGGGAGGGAAGCGTCATCTGTGTCCAAAGGAGGAGGGCAACACGCCCAGGTGGAGACAAGCCCTGTGACCTCAGGCTCGCGGGTGACCCACTGACCGGCTGAGCCAGCAGGGTCGCCTCTAACAGGCGGTCCAGAAATCCCAATGGCACAGAGCCGTCCGGAGAGAACGCCAAACAAACCCCACACCCACTGTCCTCTCGTATTTCATAAATCCGCAACAGAACACCGCTTCCACCACTGGGAGAAATTGTCTGCTCTGCTCCAATTACTTTTGAAACAAGAAAGAACAGAAAAAAATAAAACCCAGTACCAACTACTCTATGGATGAAACTATAAACAAGCTCTGATTCTTCAAACCCAAGTCCAAAGACACCTGGTGGCCCCAGGCAGCTCAACCCCCTGCCCGGCAGGGAGCCGTGCCCGCCGCCCTGAGGAAGGCCTGGAGATGGGGGGGCAGACACTGCTCAGCCCTAGGAAAGCAAACCGTCAGAGACCGTCAGTGCAGCGGGGGTGGCGCCTCAGCCCACAGGGCCGCGGGACCTCTGAAAACTGGCTTTAGAAGTTCTCTACAGCCGTCCCTCCCCCCCGTACCTCCCACCTCCCTCCCCCGCCACATCCAAAGTTTCGCTTTCCATGGTTTCAGTTATCCATGGTCAACTGTGGTCCAAAAATACTAAATGGAAAATTCCAGAAATAACTGAATTTTAAATTATGTGCTGAGTCCGTGATGAAATCTCACGCTGTCCGGCTTGGGACGTGACTCTTCACGCTGTCAGCGCTTCCACGCTTCCGCCCGACAGCCACTTAGTTACCAGCTCAACCGTCGGAGCTGCAGGGCTGGTGTTCGGGTCCCTTATGTCACGTAGTGCCGGCCCCGGAGTGCCAGAGCAGTGATGGAGTCGGGTCTGCCCCAGGGAAGCCGGGCAGCGCTTCCTGTAGGTGAGGAGGTGCCGGTCCCCGATTTAAGGCACTGACCGCCTCAGGGCCTCACGTGAAGGCTGGGCACAGCAGTGTGGTATTTTGTACCCACAGAGAGAGACCACATTCACATAACTTTTATTATAATAAACTGTGTGTTGTTCTATTTTATTAGTTACGTTGTTAACCACTTGCTGTGTCCGATTTACCAACTACACTTTGTCACAGGTGGGTATGTGTAGAAAAAGGCCTAGTATATACTGTGTGGAGTTTGGTACTATCCCTGGTTTCAGGCATCCACGGGGGTCTTGGAACAAACATGTCCCCCAGGATAAGGGGGACAACTATATAAGACAGACACATGTATGTGGGTACACATTTCTGCCCCCAGAAAACATAAACATAAGCGGTCACACCAGGCCTTCAGCGCCTGCTACAAAACACGCGTCACGTCAAAATGGGGCCAGCATTCTCCTCCCCACCTACACTCACCAGGCCTGTCTACCTGTGACTCCCCAAAGGATCGTGAAAATACATTCATCCAAAAGTCCAAAACTGCCCACGGGGGGATGGTGCTAAGCTTGCAGTCTCAAGGTCCACGCCACCAAACCGGAGTGTGGCTGACCCTTGGACGCTCAAACACACTGCAGAGTCCTCTAGTCTTTGCATCAGAGCAAAACTTTTCTCCCAAAGTAGATCAGTCTGCACTGATCCTGTCCGGCAAATGTCATCCCCTGGTAAGCCTCGAGCGGATCTTAGAAACGTCAGAAGCTACAGACACCACAGGTGCCACCCCCACCCACCCTCTCTCTGATGCTGGACCAGACCGAACGGGCCCTGAAACCACAGCCCATGGTGGGTTCAGGTAACCGCATCTCCAGCAGCCCCTCCACTGGGCTTGTCCCGAGTCCCAGTCCCCGGCCGTGCCCCCCGGCCTCCGGTGCGGATGCTGAAACCGCCCACAGCCACGTGGCTGCCAGTCAGTGGCGCGCCTCGTCTCCTGCTGACAGCTCCCTCTTCTTCCTTCTGTTAAATGAGTCATCCCATCCCAAATGCTATGCTCATTATTTTTCTTACCACTTTCCTTCCTCTTCAATGTCTTTTTGACTCACAGACTATTTTTACCAGCTCTTGTCAGACTTCATCACCCCTGCTCTTACTGGACGCGAGGGGTTAGTAACAGTAACATCTCGAAATCAAGCATGAGCCCAGCAAACATGCCGCGTTGGGCCAACAGCCTCCCCAGCCCACTCCTGCCCCCTGCTGGCAGCGGGCCGTCACAGGCTGCACCGCATGGGGAGAAGGCTCTGTGCTCCCCCAGCCCTCCTCCCGCAGCACGCAGAGTGTGTCGCTCTGAGCGTTCATCCCAGGCCGTGGGCAGGGACCCTTAGCAAAAAGGTGACTCACCACGTCAGGGCCAAAGACTGCAAGATGCAGAAGATGAGGGCGAGCCCCTTGTTGTGCCACTGAAAGGAAAACGATAGGTCCCGTGAACAGGGGTGCCGAGCGCATAAACCAGAGGGGTTCAGGGGAATGCAAATACAAACTTACCCAAAAGGCAGAACACAGGGTGAGCGTGAAACACAACTGGAGAGAGAAAGGAAACAATGTTGAGTTACTACAGTGACAATGACGACACGGGGGAAAACCATAAAGACTTATTCTTGGCAAACTTACACCAATACTGACCAAGCTGCAGCATTCAGACCCCGTGACGGGCGGGGCAGCAAATGCATCCTTCATTTCAAAGCATTCCGCCGCCTGAGCACCCACGTTTAGCAGAAAAGTTAAAATCACTAATAAGGTTCCCAGATTAAAAAGAGAAGGCTCCTTTTCTAATTTCCCCAAAAGCTCTGCCCAGCAAACAAAAATCACACTCCTAGTCCCATCCGTCTTTCCACTCAAACTGAAAAGCAGGCTTCACACGTCCCTGTACCCTAACTCCTGCCAAACGTCAGTCTTGAGTGGAAGAGCCACGTGAGGACAGAGGTTAACACGAGACGCCACGCTCACAGGCAACAAGTCGGGTATCTGTGTCCTTGTCACCTAACACTTTCTCTAGGTCCCTTCTTAGAAAGTTCTTTCTACAAGACCCCTGTCCAGGCCACCTCCATCCAACAGGCCTAGGACGGCAGGTGCTAGAGCGGCCATCACGCCTGTCACCGCCTCCTTCCGTAACAGTAGCTTCCAAAGAAATACGTCTAAGGATTTCCTTTGTGTCCAGCACGGGGCCCAGTGCTCTGAAGGGACACGAAATGAACAGCAAACGTGGGCGTGGCCTTAGAAAACTTATGTGTCTGAACAAAGGCAAGTAACACAAACAAATCCAATAAAAGTATGCCGCCAAGCTCCCAAGGTTACATGACTGATAATGGACAGAGAGTGTGGTCTGGGGTGATTTTGATGGTCGCGTGGAAGCGAACGGGCCAAAGAAATGACAGGCATTCTGGGTTAACGGACAGGGAGATAGGACACGACTAAAGGCACTGTGGTCAGAGCAGGGAACGGGGCGATGGCCGCAAGGACGACCCGTGGAAATGAAGAAACGAACATGACCCCAAAGTCACAGGACGATGAAAGCCACCCCCTCCCCGAGACTGACCCCCTGC